ACACTGGGGGAGACAAAGGCGGCCGGGCGTGGTGCTGGCCACGCCTCATCGAGGGTGCCGTGCCGGCCGTCGCTAGCAGCACTTGCCCCCAACAGTCCGTGAAGGCTACACGGGGGATCTTTGCCTTTGTTATATATCACCAGACAAGAGGCTCCTCTGGCGCTCCCTCGAGTCACGTGGATGTGGCAGTGACAGTGACGGAGCAGTTGCTGTACCGCACCACTGTGCCGTGCAGTACAGGTGTGTGTGTGTGTGTAGTACAGGTGTGTGTGTGTATAGTACAGGTGTGTGTGTGTGTGCAGTACAGGTGTGTGTGTGTGTGTGCAGTGTGTGCAGTACAGGTGTGTGTGTGCAGTACAGGTGTGTGTGTAGTACAGGTGTGTGTGTGTGCAGTACAGGTGTGTGTGTGTGTGCAGTACAGGTGTGTGTGTGTGTGTGCAGTACAGGTGTGTGTGCAGTACAGGTGTGTGTGTGCAGTACAGGTGTGTGTGTGCAGTACAGGTGTGTGTGTGTGCAGTACAGGTGTGTGTGTGCAGTACAGGTGTGTGTGTGTGCGTGCAGTACAGGTGTGTGTGTGCGTGTGGAGTACAGGTGTGTGTGCGTGCGTGCAGTACAGGTGTGTGTGCATGCAGTACAGGTGTGTGTGCGTGCAGTACAGGTGTGTGTGCAGTGTGTGTGTGTGCAGTAAAGGTGTGTGTGTGTCTGATGGAGGTGTGTGTGTGCAAAATGCAGGTGGGTGTGTATGTGCAGTACAGGTGTGTGTGTGATGTAGGTGTGTGTGATGTAGGTGTGTGTGATGGAGGTGTGTGTGTGTGATGTAGGTGTGTGCGATGTAGGTGTGTGTGTGTGTGATGGAGGCCTTAATAGGTGCTCGCTTACCATCGCTTGCATTCTACTACTGAATTTTGAAGATCACATTGACTATATTGGTAAAAAGACAAAAATAAAAATTGGTTTTCTGTATCGACACAAGCACTGCTTCCCCCCAATGTTCCGTTTGGAATTGATAAAAGCTACCATACTGCCTCTACTTGACTACTGTGACATCGTGTATAAATCAGCCTCAAGTACTGTACTGAAGAAGCTTGATTCCATCTATCACTCGGCCTTAAGATTTACATTGAACTGCCCATATAGGACTCACCACTATGATTTCTACATTGGGTCAAACTTAACATCTCGTAATGTTCGACGGCTTGTGCACCAGATCTTATTTATTCACGATGTACTTACAAAAAAATCCGCAGACTACCTACTGGATCTTCTCCTCTGTTTCAAAGAACAAATTTGACCTCAGGTCTTCGCTCATTTACCAGCTTCACATTCCCTATTGCCGTACAAAAACTGGAGAAAGGGCCTTTGCTATTGATGCCCCCATGGTCTGGAATGCTATTGCCAATAAACTGCAACTTGAATCGCTACCAATGAGATCTTCTCTCAAAACTGCTCTAGAGGAGTTGTACACCCCTTGCTGCCACTGCTATTCATTGGCGTAAAATACAATAAAATGTTTCGCTCCGGATGACGCTGCAAAGTATTATCTGTATTTTGATTGAGCGTGCTGATCTTAAACGTGCAGTGCAAAATTTGATACTCCGACTGATGCTTCTGTTGTTGTGGAGTAACTCATGCAGCCAGCTATGGCTCTAGGATTTGGTGTTACATGTTATTTATGTAGTTTATTGTAGAAATTCGGTCACAGTCCCTATGATCACTGTTACGTTGCAATTATGGCTTTATTTTTTGGTGATTTCGAAAAGTTTTTTTGGGTTGGACATGTTTGTTTTGTTGTAGTACGGCGTTAGACTGATGGCCTTAATATAAGTTTTCTTGTGGTTGTTGTTGTTGTTTGACTTGCATCCCACTGGGATTTTTTTCACACAGCGTTGGTGTACGGTGCTTTTTTTTTCAGGAATATTTTGCTGTTTTTTCATGGATTTTCTGTTTGCACAGTCACATGGTCACTTTAAGATATTTTCTAGTTCGTGTTTTAGTTTTTTGTTTGTTGTTGTTGCACCCGATTCAAGAGCCGAATGGCTCACAGGGCTATACCAAAATAAATAAACTGAAAAAAAACATAAAAAACATGTATGTATGTATATGTGCATGTATGTGTATATGTATGTGTATGTTAAATTTCCTTCGCACCGTACATAGCCAACCGTGCTAATGGGGAGTTGCGGGGGAAGGACAACAAACTGAACACAAATCAGTTCTAAATAAATGAGTTTGTCAATCTCGATGATGATTTAAAAGTGCACCGCTCCAGTGCCTTCCTGGTAGGGGAGTGAAGAGCGTTCCAGATAGCCGCAGAAGCGTATCTGAAAGCGTGCAATGCAGTGACTTACGTACAATCACACGTAGGACGACTCAGCCCCAGGTGAATACCTGGTGCGGTGTGTAAACATCGCCACTGGAGAGACAAAGGCGGTCGGGCGTGGTGCTGGCCACTCACCCCCTCGTGTGCCGTTCCGGCCTTCACAGGTGCGACTCACTAACAGCACTTGCCCCTACAGTCTGTTAAGGCTATTTGGGGCAGCTTCGTCTTTGTGCATATATACGTGCGTGTATATATGCGTGTGTCGAATGTCTCACTTGCTGAAGTCAAACTTGGGGAACCTGATTGTGTTCTTGATGAAGACTGTGAAATTCTCAGCCCCGGCGAGCACCGGCCTCCTGGACAGACGCGGAGAGAGCGGGGACGACGCTTGCTCGTAACCACACACGAGTTCACAGAACCTCCTCGCTGGGGCTACGCATCTCCTCCACACGAGACGACACTTCGTTGAGCTATCATTTGTGGGTGGCCAGGTCGCTTCTGAAAAAAATTGTTGATAATTTAGTTTAATCCATAATGCGTTTTTTTTGGGTTAGACCACGTAAAAAGTTTAGTTTAACCAGCCGACCCCGTTAAATACTTTCCTCAATCTACGCTTACGCCTCACTGTGTCCCCGAAGCGAACGGCAGTGAAAACCCACGAGGGCTCCTCTCTGTAATCCCGCTGGCAGCAGCGAAGCTTCCTGCCTGACCCCTCTGCCGAGCCGCGTGGTTATTTTGTGTGGCGGCTTTCTCGCCGCGCTCCGAACCACCAAACCCCCCCCCGAGTTCAGTTCTCTCTCGCAGCCAACGCCAGGTGACGGGCGTCTCAACCCATCCTGGGCCTTCCCCTAGGTCTACTCAGCCTTAAATGTATACCCGGTGCGGAGTGTAAACATCACCAACCCGGGGAGAGAGACAAACCGGGCGTGGTTACTGCCCACCACCCCGCTCGTGTGTCGTGCCGGCGGCCTTCACAGGTGCTGCGACTCGCTACTAACGGGGGATCCTTGCTGTGTGTAAAGGTGTCCATGCAGCTCTCCATACAGGTGCTCATACAGGTGTTCACGCAGGTGTGTGTGTGTGAGGTGTCCCTCACCATGGGGCCGTGGCCTTCTCCACAGGGCACCAGGCTGAGATCTCACAGGTGCGTATGCCCGGGCTGTAAGGAACACAGCGACCGGTCCTTATACCTGGCAGGCAGAGGAGGACAGGTGAGCGGCTGTCTGTGTGAACAGGTGTGAGCGTGAACAGGTGTGTGGAGAGGGTGGCCACCGCTTTCACTGCACACCGAATCCGGAGAGATTTCTGAGTGCTACGTCGATCACAGCTGTGCGGAAGTCACGTAATGTAATACATGTGTTGAGGAGTTCCCGACGACGACTCGGAGACGGCTTGAAGGTAAGGGCTTTCGCCAAAGGTTTATTAAGTGTATTACAATAGCACAAAGGGTGGGACAACTTCCCAGGGGTTAGGGGTCCTACACTAAGTCCTGGTCCAGCCCGGCTAGCTCCGGTCTCTCTCCCTCGAGTCGGATGGGGGCACTAGCCAACCCCACCGACCGGGAAGAGCAGCACCTCCTACGGCTACCAGCGGCTTCACTCCTGACTCTCGTCGATCCCTCTCTACCCCTGGTTCCCTCTCCACCCTTCTCACTCTACCCATTCCCGCAGTGACCCCGCTTTCGTCACGGGGTCCCCCTTAAATACTAGACGAGACATGACGTCATCGAGCCCCCCAGCGTGCATGATGCCACGTTCCGTGACGTCATTGCACTGGACGGCACACATGACGTCACGTCCCCATTTTACTCCTCTACACATACAAACATACACGACACCGGCAGCGTAAGTGCAATAAAACGGTGAAAGAGACGAAATGGAATGTTTGAGGGATGCCACACGCGAGACGCTCGGACGGCAACCGCCTGCTTTGTGATTCCCACAGCCTTCGGCAAATCCCTCACGGTCAACGTTGGCGTTCCCTTCGCCGACGTCATCACCACGTGAGGCTTCTCCACACCTTGAGCACGTGGCTCCTCGCTTGCCCCTCCCAGTTGACGCTGCCCCTCCGTGTTGACGCTGCCCCCCGTGTTGACGCTGCCCCTCCGTGTTGAAGCTGCCCCCCGTGTTGAAGCTGCCCCCCGTGTTGACGCTGCCCCTCCGTGTTGAAGCTGCCCCCCGTGTTGAAGCTGCCCCCCGTGTTGAAGCTGCCCCCCGTGTTGAAGCTGCCCCTCCGTATTGACGCTGCCCCTTCGCGTTGAAGTTGCCCCTTCGCGTTGACCCCTTGCACACCGGATTCTCTGCGCTCGAGAAACTCGTGGGCTGGAGGAGAGGCCGAGGAGGATGGCCTCATGGTCTCGCGAGGCTGCATCAGATCGAGACTCGGGGATAGGAAGGGGGCTTGCTTGAGGAGCTTTGCCGGAAGGGACCCCTGGGGAAGGGGGCTTGCTTGAGGGGCTTTGCCAGAAGGGACCCCTGGGGAAGGGGGCTTGCTTGAGGGGCTTTGCCAGAAGGGACCCCTGGGGAAGGGGGCTTGCTATGGGGGCTTTGCCGGAAGGGACCCCTGGGGGTTGAGCGACCCAGAGTGGATGCTGCCGTCCGGGCGTGTGCTCCCACACTTGACTTGACCGTGGCCCTTTCCAACATTTACAAAGCCCAGTTTCCGCTTGGCTGGAGACCGTTTCCATGTTCGGTCCGCTTTGCCAGTGTGGCCTTTGTGGCGTTGCAGGGCTAATGAACTACGTTTGTTGCGTTGCAGGGCAAGTGAACTACCGAAGGATGCAAGCAACAGGAAGTACCTCCTCCGACTAAACAAAGCGCGCGGTGAGTGCGGCAGCTTGCATGGGACCGGGACTTTGTTCGGCTGCGTGCCAGACCGTGCCACAGGCAACTCAGTGGCTTGGCTGTCGAGTGTGCAGGCGGTGTAACTGCACCGGAGCCCACGGGACGGGGCGGCCCAGGGAGACCTCGGTTCTCCGTGCCGACCGTCGATTCAGCGGTGTCCAGGAACGGAGCACGTGTCAACGTTCTCACCGCTTCGCAATTTTAATTAGCGTTGACCTTGTTAGAGTGTTGCAGTGTTCAGTTTGTCGTCCTTGCCCCCGCACCTCCGATTAGCACGGTCGGCTACATGCGGTGTGAAAGAAGTTCCAACGTACGCGCGGTACAACACCTGAACCCCCACCCACCACCGCACCTTCGTGAGCCCGCGCTGAGCGGCGTGGTGGAAACGGTCCTCGCGAGTTTCGACGTGGAGCCCTTAACCCAGAACAGGGGCCCGTGGCAGGGCGGCCTCCCGCCGCACGCGTCCTCGTCGATGACCTTGGCGGGTGCCGCTCGACAGACGCCACCTTGCCCCGACCTTCGCCAAGACGGGTGGAGGCTGCCTCTGATTCTCGGGCGGGCGTCGTACAGGAGCGGTCTCGATCGTCCTGCACTACTCGTCCGGCGCGAGCGACATCGTCGGGGCCTGCTTCCACGCACAGCTGTTGAGCCTCGCTCTGCCGCGCGGGGCCACCGTGGAGGTGGCCGCGGAGCACCGGGACGGCTTCCTGCAGCTGCAGAGAGGCGAGTCGTAGCGGCCCTTCTGCATAGCACGTGACAGTGGGGGCACTTTATTCCAGGCAAGGCCCCACTGAGCTGTCTAGCTGTTTTTTCACAAGTGACCTGGCCACAAATGATATGTGGGCTTATCATCATGATCATCATGTGGAGATTTCTCGCAGCCAACTACTCTAAATGCGTGGTGACGTTGATTCTAAATGTGGAGGGGAAAACCGGAGGGACCCGGAGATAAATCCACGCAGTGACCGCGGGGAGAGACGCAGGCTCCTTGGGGCCTCGTGTCAGTGGCGTTGTCTCCGAGCTCCAGCGTGCCGCTCGCAATCAGAAGGTTGCCAATTAAAAATTTTTCCATTTAAATTTCCATACTTGGCAGTAAGTCCCGAAATTCCGAAGACTCGCTCGGTGAGAGGGATTCTCTGGGTAAATGGCAATGAACCCAAGAGGTATGGCAAAAAGAGAAGTAATAAAAAATGGTGTTGTTCGGGAAGAATGGAAGGAACCGGAAAGAGAGGAAGACCTAACAGAGCGAATCTCATGACCACAAAATAAGAGATTGGTGCCAGATAGGTGTGGCCCTGCTTGACCATACTAGCACTACATGACAGAGAGGAAAATGGGAACAAATGACGAAACGTGCAGTGGACACCCGCGGGGCTATCTGCCCCATGGTTCTTGATGATGATGACGATGCGTGAAAAAATTGGCAACCAGTTTTTTTTACCTAACCCATCGGGCGGCTGCTAAATTTCAACCTTAAGAATCTCGATGTTTACTTTGGCTCTCGTTTCGTTTGCGCAGAAATAACCGCCGGCGACCCCTGCGTGTCGGCGTCTCAAGATTTCGCGACGCGCCTCTTCCCGGAGGTGCTCGCCGGGCTGCGGAGCGCCGGCTGGGCCATCTCGGCAAGCCTCCTGCAGGCCGACGAGTGGCGGGCACAGTGGCACCAGTGCCACCAGAAGGCGCAGTGACGACGTCAAGAAGGGGGATTCGCGCGACATGAGAAAAAACTATTCAATTTGGGGCATCTGTTCCCGTGGGGAGAAATGTGGGGGGCTATGGGGAGTAGGAGGAGGGGGGGCTGTGTGGGGGAGCAGGAGGGGGGGGGCTGTGTGGGGAAGCAGTAGGAGGGGGGGCTGTGTGGGGGGGAGAGGTAAACCAATGTGCCACCCGTGGAGTATGTAAGTAATGCTCCACGCACGTAAATATAAATACAAATGTATTGACAATAAAAAATCGGAACGTTTTGTTCAGTGGCACAGTGAACTGTTCGTGATTTTGTATCACATCCCGCGACATATATCCCAGCACACATTTGATCATCCTAGCCCAACCTGGGGAGGAGCGGCGGTGCAGCGGTCGGCACGCTGAGTTCGGTGAGCGGAGTTCGATTCCTGGCCGCAGGCTGATATCCGTGGCGAGGGATATCTCACCACGTGGTCCTGCCCCACGCTTCACTAACCCACATTGACCAGTGTGGGGAGGTATGGTCAAACAACCCTCAAACATCAATGGGGAGGCCTTCCAGGAGGAGTTCTCGGTATAACCAAACTTGGTAATGTTAGTGACATTGAGGCAAGCAGTTTGGCAGTTAAAAACAAAGGTCAAAATTAGTAAAATCACCCAGTAACATCAACAATGGGTGGATGGTCGCTCCAGAGGCATCACAATGTTCAACATTGTGAGTGGGGCTTGGGCAAGCCACCGGCGCCGCCGCCGCGAGGAATTTGGGCGTTGACGCAGGACCGTCGGTCACGCCGACGCCGTGCCGGCAGCGGCGGCGTTGTCATCGGCACTGTGAGGCGCAGTGCACGGAGAGCAGCGTGTTACCGTGCCGGCTGGACACGGAGGTGACCGCGTAGGGGAACGTCTCTTGGAGCTGCACGGGCCCAGGGACGCAGGCCTCGCCGTCGGTCCGGCCCAGCCTCCCCCGCGCGGCCTTCCCCCACGTGAACACTTGCCCTCCTGGCACGAGCACACGAGAGAATCACGCACGCGCGTGAGCACGGATCTGCACAGGTTATCATTGTGCAACGAAGTTAACTCGTGGTTTTTAAGACACAAACGCGAGTCATCATGCGTGAACGCGCGTTGGCGCGACTTGCGTGAAACTAAACCGGAGAGACGCACGCACGCACGAGCGGGGGATGTTTCAGCGAGACAAGGGAGCATTGCTTGAGTGCTCATCTCCATTGCCGGTGGTGGAAATTCCCCATTCCTACAGCGGTGGGCCCAGTCTGTGCAAAAAACAACAAACTCTGACTCCACACAAAGTGTTACTTAATTTATCACCACGGGAGTGACAATATTGATGGTGGGGCGTCTGAGCCAAGTGCTCTGAGCAAAGAGGCCCCCACCCCCCCAGCATAAGGTGGTCATGGTTACAGACCTTTCACCATTCAGCTGCTGGATGAGAACCTCCCCCACACCGTGAGGGTTATTTCGCACTGGTCAGTGCGTGTTGGTGAAGGCGGGGAGTGCACAGACACACACAAAGATAACAGAGATCCCCCATATTAGGCCGGCACGACAGACGAGGTGGTGGGTGGCCAGCACCACCTCATGGCAACCTAGGAGAGGCCCAGGACCGGTTGAGATAATTGTCACCGGTGTTGGTGGCCGTGAGCGGAAAATGAACTTGTGTCTCTGGGTTCGTAACACAGCGCACTCACTACACTACTGCTACACTACTGCTCCCCACACACGCACGTTCACACGCGCACGTTCACACGCGCACGTTCACGTGCGCGTTCACACACACGCACGTTCACACGCGCACGTTCACACGTGCACACGGCGGCGGCAGCAGCGGCACCGTCGTCGTCACCTTCGGCGACGGCCACGGTGAAGGCGTCGCCGCACGTGACCTGCACCACCTTCACCCCGCCGAGCCCGTCCACCGGCTGCGGCGCCCGGCTGCTCGTGCGAGCTCCCCCGCCAAGCTGCCCGTGCTGGTTGCTTCCAAACGTGTAGCACGTGCCCGTGTCTGCACGACGAGACGTGGCGAGATCGGCAAAGAATTTGCCAGGGCCGGTGACCGAAGAGAGGAAGACGGGGGGGTGCAGGGACAGGACGAGACAGACGGGGGAGATGGAGGCGGAGTGAGACGCCCTACACACGAGGCAAAGAGAGACGGGACAGACGGACACACCAGAGAGAGTGCGTCCTGGTGGATTACAAACGTGCCACGACTGACCGCGTCACGACTGACGACCGAGTCCGTCACAATGGCACGAGCGCTACGTGCAGAATTGCTCAGCTCGGTATTTTGAGGACGATGCACACGACGGAGGTGAAGGAGAGCGACGAAGACAAGGCAGACGGAGATTTAAGTATCTGATCAGCACGGTTGGCTACGTACAGTGCGAAAGAATGTCGACATACATCATGTTCGCCTTTTGGCGTCGTTCCCCGGTCTGACACTGGTGAGACTATGCCCTAACGAAGGCCGTCTCTGGTGTCGGCCAAATCAGTTTCAAAGACAACGCCACGTATAATTATCAGCGCGTGTTTTTGTTTGCACGTTCACAACAAGTACCGTGTGTGATTAATGCGGGAACTTGATTCCTTGCAAAAGGTTTATATTTGCTGTTCAAGCATCTGAACACAACTCGCGCCCCACCTGTGACGGCGGCAGAGTGAGCGGTGCCCAGCGCCACGTGGACCACCCGGGCACCGTCCAGCGGGCTGGACTGCACCGGCGAGAGCACCAGCGACTCCTCCGTCTGCTCCGCGGGGCACGCGGCGTCGTCGCCGTCGTGCGAGATCTTATCCAGGCCCAGTTTGTTGTACCTGCGGTTCGCGTCGGGCAGACGTAGAGGGGGCGGGGGGGGGGCGGCGGGGGGCCAGGGGGGGCATACGTCCCGGTGCAGTTGTCAAATCGGCCTCAAATGAGTACCTGGCGTGGTGTGTAGTAAACCATCGCCACTGGGGAGACAAAGGCGGCCGGGCGTGGTGCTGGCCACCCACCCCCTCGTGTGCCACAGTGCCGGCCTTCATAGGTGCTCGCTAACAGCTCTTGCCCCAAGTCTGTTAAGGCTACACGTGACGGGAAGGGGGGGAGATCATTTGTCTTTGTATGTAGGCGGTGGCTAGGAGATGTTAACTACCTCGCCTGGAATGCAGGAGCCGTGGGTTCGATTCCTGACGCCTGCTGCTGCTGCTGTATATTTGCGCGTCTTTCTCTCCCCGCGGTCGCGTGGATTTTTCTCCGGTTCCTGCGGTTTTTCCCTCCACATTTAGAAAAACGCGTTTAGAGTATTTGGCTCCATACATTTCCACATCGTATTAAGCCATTTTGTTGCGCTATCATTTGTGGCCAGGTCACTTCTGACGAAGAGCTACATCGCTCAGTGGGCATTACCTGGTAAAATAAAAAAATTGTTTGGTTTAATAGTTTTAGTTTCGCCCGTTGAACTTCTTTCGCACCGTACGTAGCCAATCGCGCTAATCGGAGGTGCGGGGGAAGGACGATAAACAAACCACAGAGGAGCAGTGGTAGAGAAATGAGACTTTGAACCCAGCTCGTATCGGTTGCTGCCGCAGGCCAGGAGCCTGCCACTGAAGGTGACGTCATGGAGCAGTCGATGCCGCAGTGCGCGGTGCACGGCTCGTAGGGCGGAGGGACGGCCACCGGCTGTGGGCACAGGTGGAGCTCCTGATTGCCCAACCCGAGGCGCCCTGGGGGATTGGAGAGACACGCGCAGACGCATGGAAAGATGCGCACGGAGGGACAGAGAGACGCACAGAGAGACAGACAGACACAGAGAGACACAGAGAGACACACAGAGAGACAAAGAGACACAGAGACAGAGAGACACAGAGACGCACAGAGAGACAGAGAGAGACAGAGAGACACACAGAGACACACAGACAGAGAGACGCACAGAGAGACAGAGAGACACACAGAGAGACAGAGAGATGCACAGAGACACAGAGAGACAGAGAGACGCACAGAGAGACATAGAGATGCACAGAGACACACTGACAGAGAGGCGCACAGAGAGACAGAGAGACGGAGAGACAGAGAGACTCACAGAGAGACACACAGAGAGACAGAGAGACGCACGAAGACGCCGAGAGATGCACACGGGGCTGAGTCCGTGTGCTGGTGTCGTTACGGAAAGTTTCGTGACATGTGTGGGTTTGTTTATTATAAATAAGAATTTATATTGAACTACAACTGACTTTTTTATTGTACCAGGCCCACTGAACTATATAGCGTCTTTGGCAGAAGTAACCTGGCCTATCACAAATGATAGCTCAACGATGTGGCTTGTCGTCATGTGGACATTTATAGCAGCAGCCAAATACTTTGAAATGCGTGGCGATGTTGATTATAAATGGGGAGCGAAAATCCGGAGGACCCGGAGAAAAATCAACACGACCACGGGCAGAGAGAGAGAGACGCAAACTCCAAATATACAGCAGCAGCAGGCGTCAGGGTCGGGATCGAACCCATGACCTCCTGCATACCAGGTGGGGGAGTTAACATCTCCTAGCCACCGTGGCACCCTACTTTCACGCCGGCAGCACTGCGGAACGTAACAAAGAATCGCTTCTTCGCATGTCTCGTGCGGCAACGCAATCCGTCGTGCGCGGAGGGAACGGCCCACGGAAGCGGACACTACAGAGCTGCCTCAGATTGGCTTCAAAGCAAAGGGAGTTCATGACATTGTGGCAATTTTTCTGCCAAAAGTGAGCAGCGATCGCCTCCATTCCTTCCCATCAGTGGCACCCGTCGGGGTGCAGAGGAAGTGACAAAAACAAACACAAGAGGTATTGTGGGTAGAGGGCGGGGTAATCAGGCGACGGGGGCGCGCACGAGCCGTCCCTGCCCCCGTGGGAAGGTGCCACGCGTAACGGACGACGGCAACGCGTGCGGAGGGCGGTACCGACGAGGAATTGCACGCGCCCACCGTGCGCACGAGAAAACTCAACGTATAGGCCTCGGCCCCCGTGGTTCCGTTGAAGAGTGGGGAGCTGTGCGGCGCGGCGTGCCGGGCGGACTGGTCGCCGTGCACGTGCCGGAGGAGGGGATGCAAAGCGGCTCTGTGGCAATGCGGGGGCTGACATCCACCCGAGGAACAACATCTCTACTTGGCTATATCTACGTCGTTAATGCATCCGGTGTTTTGGCTGTGGGAAGTCGCGTGAAATAGCGTTCGCTAAATAACAAAATTGTTCAAAGTTGAAGAGCGATGATGCCATCGGTGGACGACGCAGGAAGTGAGACGAGCGAATAATAAAAGCCGGGAAAAAAAACGAGACCCCCATTTGTCGTTCCACTGCTGGATGAGCGCCTCGCCAACGCCGAGAGGGGTGGTGGTAATAGTGGGGGTTATTGAGTATTTGGGCTGCTATACATTGCCGCGTCATAATGATAATCCACTTTGTTGAGCTATCACATTTGTGGCGATGATGAAGTTGTGATAGCTAGGTCAGCTTCTGAAAAAACAGCTACATAGCTCAGTGGGGGGGCCTTACCTGGTAAAGCTGAAAGAAAACCAGTTTACGAGTTCAGTTTTCGTGGGAGGTTGGAAGTCTTACCGTTGTCTCCTCTGCCCCAGGCAAACACCTCTTGCTCATTGCTCACCGCCAGGACGTGCGACATCCCGCAGGACATCTGGGTAATCTCGTAGCCCAGCAGCGCTTCCACAATCTTGGGCTGCCAACGACACAAAGAGTAATACCAAGAGCATTCGCTCGCACCCCACGTCACGTGTGTGTGTGTGTGCAGAGCTTCTATCGCACCGTGACGTAGTGATGCGAGCGCTGATGTACGCTACGGCGGCGATGACGCGGCGATGGAGCGGCGATGGCGATGATGAAGTTGGCTCCAGTCTCCTCGTCAGTCATCGTCGTCGGACTTGGAGGACGAGGGGGTGCTCAACGCCTCCTCCTCCTCTATCTCCTCATAATCCTTCTACCTCCTCATCGGAGCCCTCACTACCGCTGCCCCCCCCCCCCCCCCCCTCTCTCGTTGAGAGGCGCCGGGAGGAGAAACCACAGCCATGCGGTGTGGAGCCGGTGTCAAGTCCCCCCCCCCTCACACCAGAGCTCTGCCATCCCCTACATATGAAGGTGTCACTGGTCAATGAGCGAGTGTTCATTATACACATGGGAGCGAGGGGGGCAACACGATCACACGCGTCCGCACAGCGCTCGCTCAGCTCCATTGGCTTCCGGTTGCCGAACGAAAGCGTCGTTGTAAGTTGGCACCCATTACACACCAAGCGCTCGCCACAAATTAACCACAACACCTCACCGATCTAATCAAGGAGCATAAACCACCATCAGCACGCCAACTCTGCTCATCCTCGCAGAGGCGGCGGCGGCTTCTGGCTGGCCATGGAACAAAGACGTCGGTGGTCGTCGCATCGCGCGCGGCGCTTTCAGACGCGCTTCTTCTGCGGACGTCTGGAACGCTCTTCCTTCCGACATTAGTAAGCGCACTGGGCACTACGCGCTTTTAAATCATCATCATCTAGGTCAACAAACTAATTTCTTTAGAACTGCTTTTTTGTGTTTAGTTTGTTGCCTTTCCCCCGCACCTCCAATTAGCCACGGTGGGGTAAGTACGGTGCGAAAGAAGTTCAACGCACACCCGCACAGACGGAAGAGGTGGAGCCCACATTTGCTGAGCCGCCTTCTGACGAGCCACGGTTCTCGACACCTCGACACCCACGGGAAGGGAGTTCACAACATTTGGGCGATCCGCCAAACGTCGGCCCGAAGACCAGGAACTGGTTCCCGGCAAATGTTCAGGATCCATCCCCGAGCCTGAGCCAGTTCTTGCAACAGACGTGAAACGGCGCTGTTATTCCAGGTGGGCGAACTCCGTGCCGTCGGCACGCACTTGTCATGGGCCGGACCCAATAGGAGTGGTCCCATAAGAGTGCACAAAAACACCGTAACAGAGGTTTATTTTTTGGGTTAGGTCGCGTAAATATGAACGTGGTGTCGTTACACCCGCCACCACCCGCCATCACCCGCCACGGCCAATGAGTAAGGTTTGTCACGTCAACCAAGCATGGTGACACAGCCCGATGATGCTGGTGGTAATTATCAGCGAAACGTCACGGTACTCGAATTGTAAATGTTGTAGTGGGTTTACTCTCCAACACACCGGGCGTCCTGGACTAGCCACTCATTGTCATCCCATCATCTCGTCCACTGACGTCATCCTTCCGATCTCATCCCATCGCCGTAACAAATCCCATCATCCCATCCCATTTCTCTCAACCCATTATCCCATCATCATCATCATCATCCCACGATGCCCCACAGTACCTGTGCGACGTCGCTGTAGCTGCCGTGGCCAAGGCAGCCGCTGCTGCCGCTGCCGTAAGTCATGAGGATCCCCCTGTCTGGAAAGAACGACACAAAAGGCCCGGGTTCGCACGGTGACAAGATGCAAAAGCTCGCAAGGGCAGGAGACAACAACAACGACGACAACAACAACAACCAGCATCACTGCCTATGAAGGCCGGCACTGTGGCACACGAGGGGGTGGGTGGCCAGCACCACGCCCGGCCGCCTTTGTCTCCCCAGTGGCGATGTTTACTACACACCGCACCAGGTACTCATTTGAGGCTAAGTCGACCTAGGGGAGGCCTAGGACCAGTTCAGATAATCGTCACCGGTGGTCGCCGTGAGCAGGAATCGAACTCGGGTCGCCGGGTCCGTAGTGCAGTGCAGCTCTAACCGCTACGCTACCGCTCCCCACGCACACATTGACACACACGAACACACACACTGACACACGAACACACACACGAGCACACACGACACACACGAGCACACACACGAACACACACGAGCGCACACACATGAACACACACGAGCGCACACACGAACACACACGAACACACACGAGCGCACACACATGAGCACACACGAGCACACACACGAACACACGAGCGCACACACAGGGACACACAGGGACACACACGAACACACACGATCACACAGGAACACACAGGAACACACAGGAACACACACGGACACACACACGGACACACACACGGACACACACACGAACACACACACGAACACACACGAGTGCACACACACGAACACACACACAGGCACACACACAACACACACACGAACACACACCAACTCACCAACACACACCAACACTCACGAACACACAGGAACACACGGGGGCACTGTGGCTACACACGGGGGCACTGTGGCTACACACACAGAGGGAGTGGGTGGCCAGCACCACCACGCCCGACCGCCTTTGTCTCTCTCCCAGTTCTAGCGATGTTTACAACACCACCACCACCATCACTCCCCACACACACACACACAGTGCGCTAACCACTGCACCATCACTCCCCACTCACACACACAGTGCGCTAACCACTGCACCACCACTCCCCACTCAGACACACAATGCCCTAACCACTGCTCCACCACTCCCCACTCACACAGAGTGCGCTAACCACTGCACCACCACTCCCCACTCACACACAGTGCGCTAACCACTGCACCACCACTCCCCACTCACACAGTGCGCTAACCACTGCACCACCACTCCCCACACACACTCAACGTGCGCTAACCACTGCACCACCACTCCCCCCACACAAATTATTTCGCGACTCAATGCTGCCCTCTTTTGGTAAAAACTAGAATCTCACTCACCAACTCACCCCTCACTCAACTACCCACCCACTCATCCAGACAAAGCTACCCCAGGTAGCCTCTAGCTGGCTGTAGGGGCAAGTGCTGTTCCACAGACACTGACAAAGCTACCCCAGTTAGCCTTTGGCAGGGCTGTAGGGGCAAGTGCTTTTACATAGACACAGACAAAGCTACCCCAGGTAGCCTCTAGCGCGGCAGTAGAGGCTAGTGCTGTTACACACAGAGAAAGCTACCCCAGGTAGCCTCTAACAGGGCTGTAGGGGCAAGTGCTGTTACACAAACACAGAAAAAGCTACCTTAGGTAGCCTCTCGCAGGGCTGTAGGGGCAAGTGCTCTCACACAGATACAAACAAAGCTAACCCAGATAAATTCTAGCAGGGCTGACGGGGCAAGTGCTGTCAAAACATACATAGACAAAGTTACCCCAGGTAGCCTCTAGCGGGGATCTAGGGGCAAGTGCTCTCATACACAGACACAGACAAAGCTACCCCAGGTACCCTCTAGCAATGCTGTAGGGGCAAGTGCTGTTACACAAACACAGAAAAAGCTACCCCAGGTAGCCTCTAGCAGGGCTATAGGAGCAAGTGCTGTTACACAAACACAGACAAAGCTACCCCAGGTAGCCTCTAGCAGGGCTATAGGGGCAAGTGCTGCTACACAAACACAGACAAAGCTACCTTAGGTAGCCTCTCGCAGGGCTGTAGGAGCAAATGCTGCCACACAGATACAAAAAAGCTAACCCAGATAAATTCTAGCAGGACTGTAGGGGCAAGTGCTGTGAGCAATAGCGCCTATGAAGGCTACCGGCACTGTGGCTACACACACAGAGGGAGTGGGTGGCCAGCACCACCACGCCCGACCGCCTTTGTCTCTCTCCCAGTTCTAGCGATGTTGACAACACCACCACCACCATCACTCCCCACACACACACACAGTGCGCTAACCACTGCACCATCACTCCCCACTCACACACACAGTGCGCTAACCACTGCACCACCACTCCCCACTCACACACAGTGCGCTAACCACTGCACCACCACTCCCCACACACACTCAACGTGCGCTAACCACTGCACCACCACTCCCCCCACACAAATTATTTCGCGACTCAGTGCTGCCATCTAGTGGTAAAAAAACTAGAATCTCACTCACCAACTCACCCACTCACCCACCCACCCATTCATCCAGACAAAGCTACCCCACGTAGCCTCTAGCTGGTTGTAGGGGCAAGTGCTGTTCCACAGACACTGACAAAGCTACCCCAGGTAGCCTTTAGCAGGGCTGTAGGGGCAAGTGCTGTTACATAGACACAGACAAAGGTACCCCAGGTAGCCTCTAGCGGGGCTGTAGGGGCAAGTGCTGTTACAGACAGACAAAGCTACCCCAGGTAGTCTCTAGCTGGTTTTAGGGGCAAGTGCTTTTACAAAGACACAGACAAGCTATCCCAGGCAGCCTTTAGCAGGGCTGTAGGGGCAAGTGCTCTCATACGCATACACAGACAAAGCTACCCCAGGTAGCCTCTAGCAGGTCTGTAGGGGCAAGTGCTCTCACACAGATACAAACAAAGCTAACCCAGATAAATTCTAGCAGGGCTGTCGGGGCAAGGGCTGTCAAAACATACATAGACAAAGCTACCCCAGGTAGCCTCTAGCGGGGCTGTAGGGGCAAGTGCTCTCATACACAGACACAGACAAAGCTACCCCAGGTACCCTCTAGCAATGCTGTAGGGGCAAGTGCTGTTACACAAACACAGACAAAGCTACCCCAGGTAGCCTCTAGCAGGGCTATAGGGGCAAGTGCTGTTACACAAACACAGACAAAGCTACCTTAGGTAGCCTCTCGCAGGGCTGTAGGGGCAATTGCTGCCACACAGATACAAAAAAGCTAACCCAGATAAATTCTAGCAGGGCTGTAGGGGCAAGTGCTGTCAAAACATACATAGACAAAGCTACCCCAGGTAGCCTCTAGCTGGTTGTCGGGGCAAATGTTGTCACAGAGACACAGACAAAGCTACCCCAGGTAGACTCTTTCTGGTTGTATGGGCAAGTGCTTTGAGCAATAGCACCTATGAAGGCTACCGGCACTGTGGCTACACACAAAGGGAGTGGGTGGCCAGCACCACTACGCCCGACCGACTTTGTCTCTCTCCCAGTTCTAGCGATGTTTACAACACCACCACCACCATCACTCCCCACACACACACACAGTGCGCTAACCACTGCACCATCACTCCCCACTCACACACACATTGCGCTAACCACTGCACCACCACTCCCCACTCAGACACACAATGCCCTAACCACTGCTCCACCACTCCCCACTCACACACAGTGCGCAACCACTGCACCACCACTCCCCACTCACACACAGTGCGCTAACCACTGCACCACCACTCCCCACACACACTCAACGTGCGCTAACCACTGCACCACCACTCCCCCCACACAAATTATTTCGCGACTCAATGCTGCCCTCTTGTGGTAAAAACTAGAATCTCACTCACCAACTCACCCCCTCACTCAACCACCCACCCACTCATCCAGACAAAGCTACCCCAGGTAGCCTCTAGCTGGCTGTGGGGGCAAGTGCTGTTCCACAGACACTGACAAAGCTACCCCAGGTAGCCTTTGGCAGGGCTGTAGGGGCAAGTGCTTTTACATAGACACAGACAAAGCTACCCCAGGTAGCCTCTAGCGCGGCTGTAGAGGCTAGTGCTGTTACACACAGAGAAAGCTACCCCAGGTAGCCTCTAGCAGGGCTGTAGGGGCAAGTGCTGTTACACAAACACAGACAAAGCTACCTTAGGTAGCCTCTCGCAGGGCTGTGGGGCAAGTGCTCTCACACAGATACAAACAAAGCTAACCCAGATAAATTCTAGCAGGGCTGTCGGGGCAAGTGCTGTCAAAACATACATAGACAAAGCTACCCCAGGTAGCCTCTAGCGGGGCTGTAGGGGCAAGTGCTCTCATACACAGACACAGACAAAGCTACCCCAGGTACCCTCTAGCAATGCTGTAGGGGCAAGTGCTGTTACACAAACACAGACAAAGCTACCCCATGTAGCCTCTAGCAGGGCTATAGGGGCAAGTGCTGTTACACAAACACAGACAAAGCTACCTTAGGTAGCCTCTCGCAGGGCTGTAGGGGCAATTGCTGCCACACAGATACAAAAAAGCTAACCCAGATAAATTCTAGCAGGGCTGTAGGGGCAAGTGCTGTCAAAACATACATAGACAAAGCTACCCCAGGTAGCCTCTAGCTGGTTGTCGGGGCAAATGTTGTCACAGAGACACAGACAAAGCTACCCAGGTAGACTCTTTCTGGTTGTAGGGGCAAGTGCTTTGAGCAATAGCACCTATGAAGGCTACCGGCACTGTGGCTACACACACAGAGGGAGTGGGTGGCCAGCACCACCACGCCCGACCGCCTTTGTCTCTCTCCCAGTTCTAGCGATGTTTACAACACCACCACCACCATCACTCCCCACACACACACACAGTGCGCTAACCACTGCACCATCACTCCCCACTCACACACACAGTGCGCTAACCACTGCACCACCACTCCCCACTCAGACACACAATGCCCTAACCACTGCTCCACCACTCACACAGAGTGCGCTAACCACTGCACCACCACTCCCCACTCACACACAGTGCGCTAACCACTGCACCACCACTCCCCACTCACACACAGTGCGCTAACCACTGCACCACCACTCCCCACACACACTCAACGTGCGCTAACCACTGCACCACCACTCCCCCCACACAAATTATTTCGCGACTCAATGCTGCCCTCTTGTGGTA